GGTCACCAATTGCAAATTTCGTGGCGGGGCACAACGATGTCCGGGCTAGTACGCGGGGGTACTCGGCAAAGGAAACGGCGAAAGAAGGACGAGGACGAAGACGATACCGCGTATCTGGAAATCATGAATGTCGTGATGCCCATGCGACCCGGTACTGCCGCAATGCCAACCCATTTTCCAACTCGTGTACTCTGTAGTAATTATCGCCAAGAGCGAGGTCGACGCTTCAGAATCTTCTGAAGAGAGCGACGTCGAGTCCTTTCTCGGTACGCAAAGCTACTTTCACTTTGTTGGGAATCCATCGTCCAGTAGAGGCCGCGCTGGCTCAGGCGAAGCGAGACGATGCGCGACGCTGGAAGGCAAATTGGCGAAAGCGCAAGGCCGAAGCTCGAAAAGAAGCTCTCGCTTTGGCGAAGGGCTGCATCCATTCGCTTCCTACGACCACTACGATGACTATCGACACATAAAATCACCGATTTGCGCGGATCCTGCAAACAGGCGCGCACCCAACCACAAGATGATGACCAAGACCTCACAAGGGATTCTCTGGCTTCAAAAAGAATTGTTGCAACGTCGAGGGTGTGTGTCTTTGTATTGTGTCCGATCGGAATGCCCCAAATGTGGTTTCGACCCAAGCTACTGTACACGTGGCCGCGTACGACCTCCTTGTATAATACACTTTCGACAGAAATATCCTCAAGCATCTACATCTCAGGATCTACAGCCGCCCTTGAATGCGACTTTGGCGCGTCTGTGTCCCACGAACGACCTTTTCACACAATTGTGATAGACATAATTAGAGCGTCCAAGGATTTGCTTGGCGGGTTTAGGCCGTCAAGGGACGAAGGAATTAATGCAATGTTTATGAAAGTCTAAGCAGACTGATTTCTTAGCGCCACGAGCACAGCGCTCACGTGCGCGACGAAGCAGCAAGAGCAGACCAAGGTGGGTCCTAGCATGATATCACGAGTGCCTTGTGGTAGGAATAAGCAGCTCGACTAGTCGTTCGGGTGCACAGAGTTGCGATTCGTAGCCCTCCGCACCATTCTTTGCAGCCTGCAAAGAATGATCGAGTTCTTGTTGCAACAGGTTTGTGTCGTGCCGGCTGAACATGCAGCGAGCAAATGTATCGTTGTGCTGGACGGGGCGTGGGTGCCATGGATGGCGTTGGCCAACGCCGCAATATCGCCCTGGACGAGCAGCCAATCGCAGTGGATGGTGCGCACGCTGGCTTGGCTGATTCGCCGAGGTCGTCGCCGACAAAGCGCCCGTTGCGGTCGCTCGCACCACAGTCGGGCCAGCGTAGGACGTCGAGGCGGTCCGAGCGCTCCGCCCACTCGAGAATCGCTCGGCGACTTTCGATGGAGAAGAAGACGTCGTAGAGCTTGATGTATCGGACGCGAGGCGCCATAGTCCACGTTTGGTGCGTCGCTGGACGCGCATTCATGCTAATATGCGCCGTTGCGTGGAATGAGCCATCTCGACGAGCCTCGAACACCGTCACGAGAGGCGTCAAGCACATGAGCCGCCAGCTCGTCAGAACCACATGGCCGTTGTAGGAAAGAAGACAAGTTCTACTACCAATCTGCAACGTACGATCGACGCATGGGTAGCTACAACGTAGCTTACATACTACTAATCCACTATGAAAAAGTTGCGTGCAACTAGACGTTCCGATCGATTTCACCAACGTGGCACGGCGTCGATTACTCCAAATATCCCACGCCGCGTCCCGCGCCTTCTTCGTCCTCGCTCACTTTTCAATCTTCCAGCAGCTAGATCAACGCAACAGAACCATGTCGGCAACTACCGTGTGTGTGACGGGCGGCTCGGGCTTCCTCGGCTCGTACGTCGTCAAGCTCCTCCTCGAGAAGGGCTATCGCGTCAAGTCGACCGTGCGCGATGTTAACGACGCCAAGAAGGTCGCCCACCTGCGCGCGCTGCCCGGCGCCGCCGAGCGCCTCGAGCTCTTCCAGGCCGACCTCCTCCAGGTAGATTTCTACATTTGTGCTTCGCTGCTAAGACCGTTGCAACAGGAAGGGTCGTTTGACAAGGCGATCGAAGGCTGCGCGGGCGTCTTCCACACGGCGTCGCCCTTCTTTTTGGCCAACCAAACGCGCGAGTCGCTTGTTGTGCCGGCGCTTCAAGGCACGCGCAACGTTCTCGACTCGTGTGCGCGGCACCCGAGTGTCCGGCGCGTCATTGTGACATCGTCGACTGCGTCGGTGTACGTGCATCTTGACACCAAGCCCGCCGACCAAGTCGTACGTGGCTTGAGCTTTTGTGTCTATCTCACGTGATCTTCTAGTTTACCGAGGCCGACTGGAGCAACGTCGAGGGCATGGAGGCCCGTGGTATGTGGTACTGCGTGAGCAAGACTCTGGCCGAGCGCGCCGCCTTGGACTACCCGAAGGAGCACTCTGTGGCGTTTGACGTTGTGACCATGTGCCCAACCATGATCTTTGGCCCGATGCTGCAGCCCGTCTTGAACGAAAGCAGCCAAGTGGCTTATAACCTGCTCACGGGCGTGACCAAGGAGGTGCCCAACAACGCGCGGGCGGTCGTTGACGTCCGCGATGTCGCGGCAGCCCACATTGCCGGATTTGAAGTCGCAGCTGCCAGTGGGCGCTATATTCTCGTGGCAGACACCACCGACGATTTTGAGATCCGCGACGCGATCGTCAAGGCCGCGCCGAGTGCGACAAGTGTGCCTACCACCGCGCCACCCGCGGTCCGTGCGGCGCGCACGGCGGTGGATACGACCAAGGCCACGAAGGAGCTCGGTATTTCGTTCCGTCGTCTGGACGAAATGATCCAAAGCACGTGCGACTCCTTGAAGCAGCACGGGTTTGTGCAGTTCTAAGTGTAAACTAGCGTGAACAACTTGAGTACAAGTAGTACATTTGACACGCGTTGGTCATTTGGAGTGAGGCAGCCGAAGACGAGAGTGTAATCAACTACTAGTATACTTCAAGCTGTCAAAGCGCTTCGTACAAACGAGATGTCGGGTGTGCGTCGGTCACAAGCTCGATCACGGTCGTTGTGCCACGAGGGCCTGTTCAACTTCAAGAATCCAAGCCTCGACATCCGGATTGTATCCGGATAATCGCGTTCAAATCCCCAAATGCTCCTCGCAGGCACACTGGCCGCGTCGCTGCCGAGGCTCGTTCGCACCGTGTTACCGGTATGTGTACACATACAGTATGTACGATGCGTTTGTAGAGTTTGCTGGGTGCTGTGAATGTTCTCTGGCAGCAAAGCGCAACAACAAAGATCCATAAGGACTTGCGCCACGGTGCACGGCTACTTGATGAGCTACTCGTAGTCCTCCATTTTCACAATTGCGTCTCGCTGGCGATGATGAAGTCTGCTGACTGTCGATCGTAGCGCAAATGCGCCACAGACTCGGAGCTGTGGCTCTGCGTGGTCGTGGGTTCGTGTGGCTGTCAATTCTTCGACCCGTAGAGGTTGATCAGCCCACGGGATGCGCCACGCGGATGATATGCTCGGCTGCTTCGCTCGACCCCGCCGTAATCCATCGGGCTGTCGCGAGGCCGCGCCACTTCCTACTGCTTGGTCTCGACGGCGCAGCCAAGCAATCGGCCAAGCATGGGGCCGTGCGCCTCAAACTCCTCCGTGTAGCCGCATGGTCGACCGCTGCAATTGTGAATTGCACCCAGGAGGAAGCTGCATATGCGTTGTGACAATTCCGACGGCAATGTCAATATCACCTTTGCAAAGGTATTCAGTTTGGCATTCTCTTAGCGACGGCGGCGTTGCGCTGCCGACGCGCGCCGTGGGAGGGTAGCCTCCTACGACTCTGTTTATGCCCCTTGCGTCACGGCGCGTCGTCGCCTTCTACATCGTATATCGGCAACGACGCAGCTGCGCGAGCGTATTGCAGAAACTGCCGTCGGCACGACCTGATTCGACTTTGCAAAACGTATGCATTTTCACAGGGCATCGAAGATCGCCGCTTCGTAGCCAATCACGACGTTGGCTATCAAGTCGCCAGCCAATCGCGTGCGCGCCGCGGGATTGTGACATGCCGCTCGGATGCCACTTCGAGACTGCCATTCAAGCTCCTCACCATGGCGATCGGAACCGTGCTCGTGCTTCTCTGCCAGGCATGGCGCCTCTTCCTCGCGCTCACCTCTGAGCCGTGGAGCCTCCCGCTGACGCAGTTCGTCCGTGAACCAACGCTCTCGGCGCGTCCGCCACGGACGGTGCATCTCGCATCGAGCACGCCGTGGGCCAACGCGTCGACTTCCGTCACGCTCGTGTCGTGGCCAGGCCGCCGCGTCTCGTACAATACGACGCCGATGACGGTGGCGACTTCGTTTGGTGACGTTGTCTACAACAAGACGTGCAACGAGACGTGGTTTGCGCCGCCACGCAACCTCCCGCGCGGTCTCAACGTGCCGATCCCGACGAACCGCTGGTGGGGCAACTGGATCGCGTACAGTGAAAACCACACCGATGTGTGTGCGTGGGCGAGTCCCTATGCGATCTGCCTCTTCCCGACGTCGATCGGCGTTTGGTACCCGCCGGACCGCCGCGTCTTTGGCAACTTTTCCGGCATCGGCGACTCGCCGCAGTACTACTACCACGACATTGCGAGCGACGTGGTCTTGTCTGCGGCCGAAGTCAACAAAACCAAAGGCGCGCGCTTTCAAGTGGTCTCGTGGGACGACCTCGGCGTCACCGTCCGCGCGTCAGTTGGCAATCACTCGATGGCCTCGTCGGTCGTGACCGGCATGGCCTACTTTACAGCGACGTACAAGGGTCTCTCGCCGCTGCTGCGCGCCAACCGAACGATTACTGCGATCAACGGCGTCAACGTGTCCGCCGGCATGGTCTTCAACGCCTCGGCCAAGCTGTCGCTGACGCTCAACAACTCGCGGACGTGGATCGTGTATGCGTCGCCGCCCGTGACGTGGCGGCTCACGCGCGCGATGAAGCTGCGTGCGGCGCCGTACCATGGGCACATTCGCATTGCGCTTGCGCCGGATGGTGACGACGTCTATGACGCGCACGCCGACTGCATCGTCAACGGCGGGCGCGTCGACCTCGCGGCCACGTCATACAGCTTTCATTGGAATACGTCCGGTGCTTGCGCGTCTGGCCTTCTCCACTTTGGCTTGCAACACCATATCGACACGCTCGATACGACGACGGCGCGTCAGCTGGCGACGCCGCGTCTAGAATCGTCGACGCGCGGCTGGCTGTACCCGCTCGTGTCGCCGCGCCTTCGCTGGACGTTCCACGAACGTTCGCTTGTGCCGGCCACGTTCTTGCCGCGCATTCCGGCGCCACATGCGCGTCTCGTGCGCGCGAACCTCACCGCGATTCTCAAGGACGACATCTTGTCCAACTGGACCATGGAAGTCAACGGGTCGTACTACTTTAACGGCAAGGCCGCGCAAAAGTTCGCGTCGCTCTGCCTCATGGCGTCCGACAAGACGGTGGTCGGGAACGCATCGGCATACCTGCGCACGTGCCGGCGCAAGCTCGAAATTGCGCTCACGCGGTTCATTGACAACACGTGGACCTTCCCGCTCGTCTACGACGGCCTCTACCGCGGTGTCGTGAGCAGCCAAGGCTTTGCCCAGAACGAAACCTACGCGGACTTTGGCAACACCATGTACAACGACCACCACTACCACTACGGGTACTGGGTCACGGCGGCCGCGATCGCCAACCACGTGCACCCAAACTGGACGCGCTTGCCGGCGCTCAACGCGCGCGTCGAGACGCTCATCCGCGACGTCGCCAACACGAACCGCAGCGATTTGGCGTTTCCGATATTCCGGTCGTTTGATTGGTACAAGGGCCACTCGTACTCGCACGGCGCGACGGCCATGACGGACGGGAAGGACCAAGAGAGCTCGTCCGAAGACATCAACTTCCACTACGGGCTGACGCTCTTTGGCCGCGTCACGAAGCGTCGTCACATTGAAACGCTCGGACAACTCATGCTGACGCTCAACGCGCGGTCCGCGCGCACGTACTTTCTCATGCAAGACGATAGCACGGTCCAAGACGCGCGCATGCGCCCGAACAAGGTACTCGGCATCATCTTTGACAACAAGGTCGACTACACGACGTGGTTCTCGAACGAGACCCACTGCATCCACGGCATCCAGATGCTGCCGACGACGCCCGTGACCGAGTTTGTCCGGACGACGCAATTCGTGCGCGAGGAGTGGACCCAAGTGCTCTCGACGCTGCCGATCGTGACCAACGACACGATCGCCAACAACAACACGTGGGCGTCCATCATGTTTTTGAACTACGCACGGCTCAACCCCGACGCCGCGATCGCCAAGCTCGCGACCGTGCCCATGGATGACGGTCTCTCGCGGTCCTGGGCGCTCTATATGGCCGCGTCCCAGCCAGGCGAGCCCCATACCGAGTCTAGTTAGTTGTCTTTTCGTCGAAAATACATCGACGCTTTTGTCTCCGATGAGTGAGCTGGGCGCTTAGTTTGGATCGACTTGCCGTCCCGACTCAATTGCGATGAAATGCAAACCTGTCAAACTTTATAGATTTGCCATCGAAACACAAGGAACATGAGTTTGCACTTGAAGAATGACTGCGACTGTCTGCGTCACGGGCGGAGCCGGCTTCCTCGGCTCGTACGTCGTCAAGCGCCTTCTCGAGAAGGGCTACCACGTCAAGGCGACCGTACGCGACCCAACGAACGCGGCCAAGGTCGCTCACCTTCGCGCCCTGCCCGGCGCCAGTGACCGCCTCGAGCTTTTCGCCGCCGACCTGCTGCAGGTTCACCTCGTCCTACCATGATACATTCTGAACGGTGCTTGTAGCCAGGCGCCTTTGACAAAGCTGTTGAGGGCTGCGCCGGTGTCTTCCACACGGCATCGCCCGTGCAACTCAAGGCCTCTCGAGATGCGCTGGTCGCGCCGGCGGTGCAAGGCACGCTTAACGTCCTCACGTCGTGCGCTCGCGTGCCGAGCATCCGCCGCGTTGTCTTGACGTCGTCCGTCTCGGCCGTGTACATGCACTGCGGCACCAAGTCGCCCGACCACATTGTACTCCATCGTCCCTCGTTCTTTTGCAGCCCGGGCGCTCAGATCCCGTCGATGTAGTTTACGGAGGCCGACTGGAGCCCGAAAGACCGACTCGAAGCCAACGCAATGTGGTACCCGCTCAGCAAGACGCTCGCCGAGGAAGCCGCCATCGACTTTGTCGAGACGCAGCGGCCGGCGTTCGATCTCGTGGCCATGTGCCCCGCGTGGATCTTTGGTCCGATGCTGCCACCGAGCATGAACGAGAGCAGCGACATTGTGCGCAACTTGTTCAATGCACACGTCGTTGGCAACTTGGTGCGCAACGTCGTCGACGTCCGGAATGTGGCCGACGCCCACGTCGCTGGCTTTGAAAATACGAAGGCGCACGGTCGGTACCTCTTGATCGCGCACTCGTCCACCGAGCAAGAGCTCTGCGACGGTCTTCGCATCGCACTGCCGACGCTTGCCGACCAACTGCCGACAGCGCGCGTGCCCGACGCGCAGATGCCCAAGGTGCGCTTCGACTGCCGCAAAGCTATGGACGACCTCGGTCTGCGCTTCTTCTCGCTGCAAGAGACTCTCGAAGCGACGTGCGTGACCATGCTCGCGCACGGCTTTCTCAACGCCAAATAGCACGAGCTATGATGTCCTAACAATGATGACTGAAATAGCACGATCAATGGATGGTGCATGGGATGTTGACGCTCCAGCTGGACGGGTTAGGTGTGGGTTAGGTGTAGGTCGAGATATTAGCTGGCCAGCTTGGTGACGAGCTATCGCTACGCTTTGTGTGTTTGCCATCAAATAGATTGTATAGACATGTTCTACTTGGTGGAAACTAGTTATACATAAGGCTAACGCAGGCGCAGAGTACAAAAAGTGTACTTTCAAGTGGTACAAAGCAATCCCTGGACGGGCTGAATGAACGCTATGCAAAGAAAGTTGACCCACTCCAGCTCAGCGCTGCCCCGCGTCGGTTTTGGGACGCTTGGTGCGTGAGGTCGAAGAGGCTACGGCCCGCTTCTTTGTCGTATCTCGGAGATACGCAATGCAAGCTTCGATGCGCCGACGCTCACGACGCATGTCCCGATCGGAGCAGCGGTAACCCCATCCGTCAAAGCAGTACTCGCAATCGCAGTCGAGATCACCCGCCGATTCTAGCATCGGCAGAACTTGCTGCGACCAACGCTTGACGGCTTGGCGCGTAATTTGCCGGAAGCTTGTCGTCGAGGTACCGGATCATCGGGTAGAGCACCGTGCGAGTGCAGTCAAGATGCATATACACCGGGGCTCGGCCGACCTTCTCGATGAGGTCCGCGACAAAAAGAGGTACGTGCGACGGCGAGAGACGGTCGAGAATGAGCAATAAAGCGTGGGTGACGGTTTGCGCCTTCTTGTGGGCTACGATTTTGTCGTCCATCCAGTCAAACGAGTGCCGGTTACCGACGAGGGAGGCAGTGAAGCCCAGGATCAAGTTTACGATCGCAGTCGCATCAGTGGGCGAGAGGGCCAAGCCTTGGTGGAGAGCGCGCAGCAACGCGCACGCCGTGGTTTCATAGCACAGCTTCCACGAAGCTGCGAAGGTGGCGACGAGATCTTTTTCGAGGCCGATCCATCGGTGCAGTTCCTCGAGGCGCTCGGCAAGCAGAGTAGAGTCATCTTCTTGGGCTAGATCGTACTGCGCTTCCAATTCGTCTTGAACCAACGGCAGAAGCGGCGTCGGCCGCGTCCCGTCCATGGCCGAGATACCAGGCAGAAGCGTGAGAAGCGGCGCCATGGCGACGGGACATCGCTGCACGATCGAGACCACAGAGCCGACTGGTGTGACGTAGCTACAAATGGCTGCGACAAGCAACGACGGGAGCCGCGAGCCAAACCACGACGACGTCGGGGACGCATCCCAGTCGCAAGCGACACGCACTTCGAGTTGAAGCATGATATGCAGCGCACATGTCCGTTGGTCGTCTGAGGACCCGACGTAACTTTCGTCTTCGTCTCGGAAGCGAACAGCGTTGGCGACGACAGTATGCCAAAGCGTGACGACGAGCTCGGGAAAGTACGGCTGATTGAGCTCTGTCAATGCATCGAGCAGCGCCATGACGAACCGGAGCGCCGCTGCAAGGTTGGCCCAGTCCAAGTACGCGTACGCATGCGTCTTGTGCCAGTCGCCCAAGCTCTGGTCGACCAGCTGGACGATCGCGGCGCCGACGTCTTCCCAGCCAAACTCAACGCACGTCGTTTTGAGCCATGCAACGCCGTCACTGCGCTTGGTGTCGTCGAAAACGTCGATGCAGTGCGTCACGTAGAGCGACCGGAGCAGCGCCGAGCGAGACGCTGAGACGAACGCCGTCATGGCCTCGCGATCGGCGTCCGTTGTCTTCACGTCCGAGTCACCGAGCATCTCCATGACGGCCGTCGCCAGCTCGGACAAGGATGCGTACCCGAGTGGCAGCGCATTGTGAGGGGCGTGGAAAGCGTTCTGGAGCAGCTGGAACGCTGCACCAAAACCGAGAAGTCGCACGCGGTGTTTCTTGGGCCAAAAGAGAAGCACCGGAGACGAGAGATCGTCAAGCGACTCGGTGGCGACCCACTTGCCGACAGTGCGTCCGACGAGCAGCGACGCGGGCAAGTCGGTTGGCAGCGGCGTCTGCAGATGCATGGCCACATTGATGATCGTACGTGGCGGCGGTGGAATCGGCTTGAACGTCGTGCCAAAGTTGGTGACAAAGTCGGCCAGTGGCTGCAAGTTGAGGTCGACGTAAGAGTTGTCGCGTGCGTAGTCGCTAAAGTCGATGCTCTCATGTAGATCGTCGTCGCCAATGTAGCCCTCGTCAACGCTATAATAGCTGGAGTTGAAGATGGCATCAAAGTCGGTTGCGACGTAGCCGTCCCGAATTGGTGGTGGACGCCTGGAAGGTTCTTGACGATCGCGACGCTCTGCTTCAAGACGCGCCGACCGACCGGCGTAATAGTTGACCACTTTGTACGTCAACTCGTCGTTCAGATAGCCCAGAGCGTCTCGCGCTTCCTCGCCGATCGCTTCCTCGTTGTCGAGAATGTACTGAACGACAGCGTCACGCACGGCTTGAAGCTCTTGGTGCGAGAGCTCTGGGACCGCCGTCGCGTCGGTCAACGTGACGAGCGCGACGTCGAACGCACCGGCAGCCACAAAACTGTGCACAAGCTCGGCGTGAACAGCGTTCAGATCAGCAAACGACGCTGCGTCGTCTTGGCAGCGATATGCGTACGTAGTCGCAAACTGCCGTGGCGCCGCCGCCAAATACGACAGCATCGACGCGGTGTCGGCCGGGCCTGGCGGAGCTGTTCGCTGCGTAGGTGCGTCGACGAGCTGCACAGCGTAGACGAGGTACGCGCGCCGTCCGGCCGAAATAGGCGCAAGCTCGACGTCACAGTCGACGTACCACGCGGCATACGACTCCCGCACCCAATCTGCACCCAGCTCGAGTGTTGACGAGCGCTCCTTGCACGTGACGGTAAGTTTGCGGGAATGGGGCGCATCCAGCGCAATGACCAGCGTCCACGAGGCATCGCGGGTGTCGAGCGGCGAGAGGCGCGGCGCCATATCGTCACCATCCAACGTCAAGTGCGAGAGCGTAAAGACGCACGACCCGAACGCTCCGACGAGCAGCCTTGACATCTCATGGAAGTTGTTTGTGTCGACTGTGAGCTTGATAGCATCGGCGGGCACAATGCAGGCGCCGTCCGCGCCCACAAACGGCGCGAGGTCGTCGTCGCTCAATTCGTCCCAAGGCACGTAGTGGCTCAAAGCGTCGCGGACTTGAACATCGGTCTCACGATCACTTCGCAGCTGCGCAAGCGGGATTTCGCCGCGCAGAGCCTCGACCGCCGTTGCGTAGCCATCGCCGAGCGCTTTGATCGCAGCCTTGGCGCGCGTGAGCTCGAGCATCGCCGAAGAGCTCTGCGTATCCGGATACGCAGCCAATTTCAAGAACTCGATTGGCATTGGTCAAAACTGGGTGGACGAGGGCTAGGTACGTCACACCGACTTGGTTTGCATCTGTCATGGCACACCTGTTGTCCAGGCGCTGCCAGGCCGATGCAAGCGTGTATCGCTGGAGAGTTATGACTCCAGGAAGCGAGAAGCCTAGAGTCTGGGTAGCCTGTGTGCGTGGTGTAGATAGGATAGTGCTTGGTGCCATATACGGATGATGTCCGGTAGCGACACTATACGGTCGTGACCCATCATCATCCGTAGAGGCCCTCAAGGTCTCATCCGGCACAGCTTTCTATCCACAACGCTGGCCTCCATAGTCTCAGTTCCCAATCTGCCTTCGTGGCGTAACACAATACAACTGCCTGCTTCCTGGGAGATGGCTCTCCCCTCGCTGCGTGTTTGCGTTGCACCGCGGAAGCCACCACACCACGTCGACGACTTCACGCGCCCCTCTCCTTCTACGCCTCCTTACGGGACCTGGGCAGCACTCCTCTAAAACTCAACACCTCACTTCACCCCCACCTCCCCTCCCCTGCGACTACCTTGCCAAACAACCCTAAATACGGAGGCAAGATAGCGGTACCCCACCGGGAACTTCAGCGGATTGTTATTTTTCTCCAAATTCGACGCAGCTTTCCCAGACACACCCAGATTTGGCATTTCCACTCGGCATTGAGAGGACTGCTCCTACCTGCAACCACCCATGCATCTCCACCACAAACCTCCTTCTTTAGTAGAACCTACCTTCTTTCGTAGACAAAGGTTGCAATAGTACGGTGTGTATAATCAATAGTGAGCTACGTAACGAGCTACGAGGCCCGGCGTGCGCTTCCGCCGGCCATAAAAATCAGTGCAAACTGCTGTCGCGTCTTCTTGCGTCCTTCGATCGTCCGCGTCGCGAGTGTGCAGCTACGATCTTACTTTTGGTCGATCGTCGCCATGTGCAAGACGAGGTCGACGAGGCGGTTCGAGTAGCCCCACTCGTTGTCGTACCACGACACGAGCTTGACAAAGTTGTCGTTGAGCGCAATGCACGCGTTGGCGTCAAAGATGGACGAGCGCTTGTCCGAGACAAAGTCTTGCGACACGACCTCGTCCTCGGTGTAGCCGAGGATGCCGGCCATCGGACCTTCGGACGCTGCTTTGACGGCTGCCTTGATCGCTGCGAGCGACGCGCCGCGTTCGAG